ATAGTAAGGGTATCAATATATTGGCTTGAGCTTAGCCCAGATTAAAAGTATGCGGCGAAGGCTTGGGAGACTCAACCTTCTGTAGTTATTGGACGAGAATAATGTAGTACAAAATCTATAAAAGAGAATTCGGGGAAAAGCAACCTAAAGGCTGCTCTCGGGGACTTAGGCTAAGGCCATAGCCTGTAAACGAAAGAGACACTTAAAGGCTGCGAATGAATGTGGTGAAGAGTATCGGTGTCCAATTTTAAGCTACTAGTTATAGTCTTTACAAAATTAATTCTTTAAAATTCAAGGCAGATGAAGTTAAGCGGAATAGGGCATGGAAAAGACAGTCAATTTTACGTTATCTAAGCCCAAAATATTTCCAGAACGATTATAATTCAGTTTTAAGATGTAATATGCCGAGTCGACTTGGCCAAACTCAAACTTTCATGTATTCTGCAATCATTTCACGGAACTATTTATATTGCTTCATAAAGGCATAGCATTGAGCACTGGTCTTACTATACTGTACAAATGTGTGCGAACCTAGGCGCTGATGGCGTCTTACGCAATCAAACCGGCAAATGGTATAAACCAAATCCGGAGACTTGGCTTGTTAAGGCTAGCGCTAGCCAAGGATGCGCAAAAGAACAGCTCTTAGTAACTAGCATGAAAAGGTAATATTTAAAGTTTGTGAATTTGAAGGATAAGATCTTGCAAATAACAAATTCGACCATTTTAAAAAATGATACACGACAATAAAGACAGACAATTAATAAGTGCTAACCTATGAAAGGAAGAGCATGTAAAGATTCGGGCGTGGAATCGGCAAATTCAACTAACGTAACAATATTCTCGTGAGAGAGTCTCTGATACGTTTTCAATTCATTTAGCTCTATGCAATGATAAAAATATGGGCACCTTTAGCTCTAGAAAATATTTTATAGACCTTTTTTTTAATAACGGTAGGAATAACTCATACAAATAATCTGTCATCCGAATCACGTTTGATCAATTCGACAGAAGCATGTGTCGTCTAAGTACTATGAACAAAATATGAATACTTTCTTCAATGTTTCGACACGCCGCCCTTTATAAGCGGACTGAAATAAATCTTGACCACGAGTAATTTTTGCATTCTATAATAAATCCACATAAAAAAACTAAAAACTTGTTGGGGTAAACATTGAACTGTGAAGTAAAGAGCTTTACGCCAAATATTAATAAAACCAAACCCCGCCTCCATGAGGCGAGAACAATTAATGCACACAAAAAATAAAATGGAAAACATCAAAAAGCTTTGAGGTGAATATTTTAAATAAACAAATTTAATAATATTATTACTTATTAATAACTACTATTCTTTATCTGCTCGTAGGCTATGCAGTCCTGACGATTCCGCTTCAAATGCCTTCTTACTCTCCTTATGTTTTATCCCGTAGAGCTCGTATATGCGATATACTTTACCGCATTGAATCACATCTTACCTCTCTTAAAAGCAAAATACACGACCGAATGTGCCCTATAGATATGTATTCAAGCAAAGAGCTTTTTGCCATCCCCGATTTATTTTGTCCTGAGGTCTGTCTCCGAAAACTAGAAGCTAGCGAGCTGGATATATTCATGACCCTTGTTGATTTGCGCTTAGCGCTACCGTCAGGTTGGTTTGAAGTTAGTGTGTGTGCCTCGCTAAATTTTCTTGTCTGTCTGCGTCGCATGGCCTAGTGTAACTAGCCTCGCTGTTTGTCTTGTCTACTATATTCTTATATTATTTGTGATATGCTATTTTATGACTGTTAATAAAGTCCTGGTTCCTTTATTAAATTATCATATAGTAGCTGCTATATATATTCCTCATCACGAATATTCTTTGTTTTATTCGTTTTTATGGGCTTATTTATTATAACATCCTACACACTTAAATCCATGTTTCTGCAATTCAATTCAAATTATTCGAGGCTCTACTAATAGCTACTTTAAAACTGTTTACATCCGGAAAAATTTGCTTTTACTATACTTATATGATTCTCTCCCTCATTAGCACCTAATGTTCTTATTGTTCTCCACTGAGTTAAATCGTAAAATCAACGCCGTGATTAATATTGTGCCTTTTATCTTCTCTTGGCCTACATGTTTTGAAGAAATATTGTGAACTGGTCTTTTCAGGTCGTCGAAAATCTATAAG